CCCTCATTGCCTCCATTTGAACCTTCAATGCCACCTCCATTTGGGCCTTCAATGCGGCCTCACGTTCTTCGGGCTCGCGTCTAGCCAATTGTCTTACCGTTTTTATATATAATGTTTTATAACATATTATATATAATGTTTTATTGACATATAATGTTTTTTAACATACTATATTAATGTTTTATTGACATATAATATAGTTTTTATATAATACTTTTTAATTATAAAACCGTTTTTCATTAACATATAATAATTTTATATAAGTTTTTTAATTATAAAACAATTTTTATTAACATTCTATATATATTATAAATAAATATTTTTTATTAACATATAATACAATTTTTATATATTTTTTTAATTATAAATCCATTTTTATTAACATTTTATATAAAATATAATTATTTTTTTTAATTATAAAACAGATTTTATAATAATAACATTAAACAGTTTTTAATATATATATATATATATATATATATATATATATATATATATATATATATATATATATATATATATATATATATATATATATATATATATATATATATATTATATATATATATATATATATATATATATATATATATATATATATATATATATATATATATATATATATATATATATATATATATATATATATATATATATATATATATATATATATATATATATATATATATATATATATATATATATATATATATATATATATATATATATATATATATATATATATATATATATATATATATATATATATATATATATATATATATATATATATATATATATATATATATATATATATATATATATATATATATATATATATATAGTTTTTTAAATATGTTTTTATTCAATACAAAAAACTATTTTTTTATATATGTTTTTAATCAATACATAAAATATTATATTATATTTGTTTTAAATAAAATATATATTAACATTAAAACTGTTTTTAGAAAATTTATATATTATTCTGTTTTTTTGTTTTGTTTTTTATAATAAATAAATTAAATAAATCAAGATATATAACTTATCATTATATATATTTTTGTTTATTAATAAATATTTATTTATATATATATTTTTGTTTTTTAACAAGAAGTACCTATATAATATATATTCTCATTTTTTAAAATTATATTTAATGAAAATTACAATATTATAATTTAATCAAATTCAACCTAAAATCTAACTAAATTCAGAAAATATATCAAATGAAAAAAAAAATTCCAAGAAATGTCTCTTCTCTTCTAACTCCTTCAATCTTCTTGTCCAACCTTTTTGCAATCTACTTCTACTATATCAATCTTCTTCTATTCAAAGAAAAATTAAAATAAATTACAATTCCATAATACAATAAATAAAAACTTGTAAACAAAATAGAGACAAAATTAAATTAAATTTACCTGAAAAAACAAGGATTAATGGAGATTGAAGTTGGATTTTATGAAAAAGAAGAGGTTTTATAATGGAGATTCAGTTGGATTTTTGAAGAAGAAGAGGGTTAATGGAGATTGAGATTTTTGAAGAATGAAGAAGAAGAAGAAGAGTGTATGATGAAAATGAGTTGATGTCTTGGTGTATATATAAACCATACAGCGACGTGGGAATCACGCCGCAACTTTGCCACGTGACTTTCACGTCGCAACAATGCCAACAGTCATATTCTCTTTCTTCACATACCTGCAAAAGCTGATCATATGTCAGTCTGAGTTAATTTGCTTTTCCCTCTTAAATGTTGCGACGTGAATACCACGTCACAACCGACTTTTTCAAAATTTCAAAAGTCCCTCCATCTGAATATTAGACCAATTAAAATATTTTATATTATATTTTTACTAGCGACGTGATTCTCACGTCGCAACATTTTTTATAAAAAAAACTAAAACAACCATCATACTTCTTTATTTTATTAATAAAACATGTTGCCACGTGATTATCACGTCGCAACTGACTTTTTTAGCCACATGATAATCACGTGGCAAAAACACGTGGCTGGAGATGATATTTCTTGTATTGCTCTCTCTCTGTGTCTTTCTCTCTCTCTCTTATAAACAAACTCAACAAGAGAATTAGCAATGTGGTGAAGTTGTCCTCACATATTTATACATTCGACAGTGTGAAAATTTAAGTAATATGGGACTTTAAATAAATATCAACTTCAATACTCACCCTCACGTTTAGCGTGAGCCATGCTTAGCGTATACCTGAATCAAATATCAACATTGCAGTCCTTAATTCAGCTCTAATATCATGTTAAATATACTTAAATATATAGTTTTTTAAATATGTTTTTATTCAATACAAAAAACTATTTTTTTATATATGTTTTTAATCAATACATAAAATATTATATTATATTTGTTTTAAATAAAATATATATTAACATTAAAACTGTTTTTAGAAAATTTATATATTATTCTGTTTTTTTGTTTTGTTTTTTATAATAAATAAATTAAATAAATCAAGATATATAACTTATCATAATATATATTTTTGTTTATTAATAAATATTTATTTATATATATTTTTGTTTTTTAACAAGAAGTACCTATATAATATATATTCTCATATTTTAAAATTATATTTAATGAAAATTACAATATTATAATTTAATCAAATTCAACCTAAAATCTAACTAAATTCAGAAAATATATCAAATGTAAAAAAAATTTCCAAGAAATGTCTCTTCTCTTCTAACTCCTTCAATCTTCTTGTCCAACCTTTTTGCAATCTACTTCTACTATATCAATCTTCTTCTATTCAAAGAAAAATTAAAATAAATTACAATTCCATAATACAATAAATAAAAACTTGTAAACAAAATAGAGACAAAATTAAATTAAATTTACCTGAAAAAACAAGGATTAATGGAGATTGAAGTTGGATTTTATGAAAAAGAAGAGGTTTTATAATGGAGATTCAATTGGATTTTTGAAGAAGAAGAGGGTTAATGGAGATTGAGATTTTTGAAGAATGAAGAAGAAGAAGAAGAGTGTATGATGAAAATGAGTTGATGTCTTGGTGTATATATAAACCATACAGCGACGTGGGAATCACGCCGCAACTTTGCCACGTGACTTTCACGTCGCAACAATGCCAACAGTCATATTCTCTTTCTTCACATACCTGCAAAAGCTGATCATATGTCAGTCTGAGTTAATTTGCTTTTCCCTCTTAAATGTTGCGACGTGAATACCACGTCACAACCGACTTTTTCAAAATTTCAAAAGTCCCTCCATCTGAATGTTAGACCAATTAAAATATTTTATATTATATTTTTACTAGCGACGTGATTCTCACGTCGCAATATTTAAAAAAAAAAACTAAAACAACCATCATACTTCTTTATTTTATTAATAAAACATGTTGCCACGTGATTATCACGTCGCAACTGACTTTTTTAGCCACATGATAATCACGTGGCAAAAACACGTGGCTGGAGATGATATTTCTTGTATTGCTCTCTCTCTCTCTCTGTGTCTTTCTCTCTCTCTCTCTCTTATAAACAAACTCAACAAGAGAATTAGCAATGTGGTGAAGTTGTCCTCACATATTTATACATTCGACAGTGTGAAAATTTAAGTAATATGGGACTTTAAATAAATATCAACTTCAATACTCACCCTCACGTTTAGCGTGAGCCATGCTTAGCGTATACCTGAATCAAATATCAACATTGCAGTCCTTAATTCAGCTCTAATATCATGTTAAATATACTTAAATATATAGTTTTTTAAATATGTTTTTATTCAATACAAAAAACTATTTTTTTATATATGTTTTTAATCAATACATAAAATATTATATTATATTTGTTTTAAATAAAATATATATTAACATTAAAACTGTTTTTAGAAAATTTATATATTATTCTGTTTTTTTGTTTTGTTTTTTATAATAAATAAATTAAATAAATCAAGATATATAACTTATCATAATATATATTTTTGTTTATTAATAAATATTTATTTATATATATTTTTGTTTTTTAACAAGAAGTACCTATATAATATATATTCTCATATTTTAAAATTATATTTAATGAAAATTATAATATTATAATTTAATCAAATTCAACCTAAAATCTAACTAAATCCAGAAAATATATCAAATGTAAAAAAAATTTCCAAGAAATGTCTCTTCTCTTCTAACTCCTTCAATCTTCTTGTCCAACCTTTTTGCAATCTACTTCTACTATATCAATCTTCTTCTATTCAAAGAAAAATTAAAATAAATTACAATTCCATAATACAATAAATAAAAACTTGTAAACAAAATAGAGACAAAATTAAATTAAATTTACCTGAAAAAACAAGGATTAATGGAGATTGAAGTTGGATTTTATGAAAAAGAAGAGGTTTTATAATGGAGATTCAATTGGATTTTTGAAGAAGAAGAGGGTTAATGGAGATTGAGATTTTTGAAGAATGAAGAAGAAGAAGAAGAGTGTATGATGAAAATGAGTTGATGTCTTGGTGTATATATAAACCATACAGCGACGTGGGAATCACGCCACAACTTTGCCACGTGACTTTCACGTCGCAACAATGCCAACAGTCATATTCTCTTTCTTCACATACCTGCAAAAGCTGATCATATGTCAGTCTGAGTTAATTTGCTTTTCCCTCTTAAATGTTGCGACGTGAATACCACGTCACAACCGACTTTTTCAAAATTTCAAAAGTCCCTCCATCTGAATGTTAGACCAATTAAAATATTTTATATTATATTTTTACTAGCGACGTGATTCTCACGTCGCAACATTTTTAAAAAAAAAAAACTAAAACAACCATCATACTTCTTTATTTTATTAATAAAACATGTTGCCACGTGATTATCACGTCGCAACTGACTTTTTTAGCCATATGATAATCACGTGGCAAAAACACGTGGCTGGAGATGATATTTCTTGTATTGCTCTCTCTCTCTCTCTGTGTCTTTCTCTCTCTCTCTTATAAACAAACTCAACAAGAGAATTAGCAATGTGGTGAAGTTGTCCTCACATATTTATACATTCGACAGTGTGAAAATTTAAGTAATATGGGACTTTAAATAAATATCAACTTCAATACTCACCCTCACGTTTAGCGTGAGCCATGCTTAGCGTATACCTGAATCAAATATCAACATTGCAGTCCTTAATTCAGCTCTAATATCATGTTAAATATACTTAAATTTCAACCGAAAAAATTAATTCAGAGAGTGAAATTGCATTCACACATTTATACATTTGACATAAATACCAATAACATAAATACCAACTTCAACCGTGAGTAGCAAAACAAAACTTCTAACTCAAGGTTACAATCTTATGGCACTTGAGTTTGAGACACTTGATTTCACGAAGACAACACATTTTAACTTTTTATTAACTCCCTTGTACCATATCTGCATCGTCAATCATGATGACGCATCAAATAAATATCGGGACACAAAAATCTAACTATCGTAAAATAGAAAAACCAAAACCAAAACCAAAAACTCAATTTTAAAAGTAAGAGAGCTAAAGTTAATTTTAGTCAAAATAGAAGCATTTAAACTAAAATAATTTAATTGTTAAGATTAATTATATTTTTTTCTTAACAAATTTATAAAATAACTATAATCATCAATAAGTTTAATTCAATTTACAACTTCATATTTTTCTTGTGATTAAGTCAATGAGATTCGACCGAAAGATTAGGACAATGGTGACCTTAATAAATAATAATAATAATAGCTAGGCTAGCATATAAACATTTGGCAGCACATACAGAACAGTTTTAGCATTTGTTTGTAAAGAATCATTGTGTGGTCCCATTTTGTCTGAGTTATATTATGATCATTAACAAATATAAACACTACAGAGTGAGAGAGAGGAAAGAAGTCAGTGTCAATAGCTGTAACAAGGACCAAAACACACCATTAAATACACTCCCTCTCCCTCTATGGCACACTGAAAGCAATTCACATTAATTCATATATATATATATATATATCCATCCATCCTTCAACAAGATCTATCATCATGCTTCATTCATTCATCACAACCATGTTTCTATGTATATCTTATGTTGCTTTGAGAGGTTGAAGCTGCCAGCATGATCTGGTAATGAATCAACCACATGTTTTTTTTTTTTTACCTATAGATTTCATCATCTCTAGTGCTTTGAGTCTCCTAGTATAAATTTTTCATTATTATATGTATATTACTATGGTTTTAAATTGCAGTTGTGTGATGCGCATTGCATTTGTTGTGGTGTGAATTTTGATTGCCAATAGTTTTAAATACACAGGTGAAAAACACTTAATTTTAAGGGTTTTTTATGATAAGTAAATTGAGTTTTTGAGTTATGAAATTATGAGTTTTGTTTTTAAATTATGAAATTATAAGTTTTGATACAAATATTTGAAGAAAATGGGTGAAATTGTTTGATGGAGTTTCTAATATGGTCGGACGCGTGATTTTAAAATTAGTACAGTTTAAAATCATGTATACTATCACATAAAACGCTTATCACATTAGATTAAAAATGAGTTTTTACATTGATTGACTCTCTGAGATAATATTATCGTAAATCTGATATATTTTACATAGGTGTGTAAAACAATTTTTTTGCGTCTTATTTGTGCTTTATCAAAATTGTTTTAACATTCATGATATATATGTTTTAAACTATAAATTCTTGAACTGCTAAGGTTAAATTATCTGAAAAAAAGTACTATCAAAACTAGTATTTTTTTTCTAAAATATATATTAGGGAACTCAAATTTAGTTATAAAAGATGTGGTTCGGTTCCACCAGGTCATCTTGCAGCTTCAATCACTCAATTATCAGCAGATAATTAACTTGCTCCATTTTCATCAGATCAATTTCACAGGTAAATAAATCTCTAATCCTTATCCTATAAATTCATACAATTTTAATGAATGAAATTTATTCAACTTTACATGTGCAGATACATGTGCCTTAACTCTTGTCATTAATTATAAATTACTTTATACCAGCTACACACATTGACAATCACATGCACGTATTTGTTTATTTATTACTAGTAATTAATAATTAATTTTTGTTTATAAATATAAGAAAGAAAAAAACAGAAGAAGAAATATATATATGGACATTAATGCAAGACAAAGTATAAATCCATTTTTATTACTTCTTTTTAAGTGGTACTGATTATTTGTCTCGTAATCTCAACAACCTTTATCTAACTTTTTTGGGATGCATTTAGCACGAGCACTGCAGAGACAAAATTTGAAACGGTTTCATTTGTTACTTTCTTCCATAGACAACTGTTTGTGGTGGTCCTATCTTTTGTACTGTCGCAATCTACTCAACTTATCTTCTGCACTAGTTCATTTTTTTATACCATCTTCTTGTTAAATGTAAAGTTTCTATAACAATATCTTTCAAATTTGAATAATTGGTATGTGTAGTTTGGTTTATCTTAACCTAGGTTAAGGTTTGGTTCTACTTGAAGTATTTAATTGATGAGATGCTAGGGTCAGTTCAATGTACGTTGATGCAAACTAACTCTTATGTAATTTGTGAACATTTATGATCGAAGAGAGGCTTTAGAACCAACTTCAAAACAAGGTATGATTATTATTATTATTTATGAAAAGGGTCCCTCTTTTGTACTCACTTGGTTAAAGTCCCTGTCAACTAGTATATGATAAGCTTGTAAAGCAAGGGCCTTAGTGGTTCCATGATATACCATGGAACATAACAGATTACGGTTTTAGATTGTGTTGATGTATACTCACTTACTAGCTAATCCAATGGCAGATGTAATAGGTAAACCATATTTATCTGGCTTTGTAAGTATATATAGTTCAAATGGATAAAAGACTATTTGATATGTTGTCACTCAAATTTGAATTTACATTTATTTGTTAGAAATAGATCGGGTTTAGAATCAAGAATGGAATCACTTTTTTTATAAGTATTTCAAGCACTCTCTTTATTGTCTTAGAGTTTGGAAAACAAGAATATCCATGATAATTCAGCCTTTGAATCGAGTCTGCACAAGACTGGTGAAGAACTTGAATGTAAGGAAGAGTATCTGAAATACTGAAGAGGATTTATGATTTTGATTGTCTGAATTTTAGATTCTGAATAATGTATTTATAGGTCATGCATGTGTTGTTTCACAAGTTTGCAGCTCTTGATGAAACAACATCTTTTCAGTATAAGATTGCAATGGTTCGCCTATAGTTACATTATATGCACCACTTCATGAAGTGTTGTATATTTTGAATTCGAAATTTAAACTTTCAGTAGTCCGAGACAAGTTTAAAGACAACTTTCACTAGTGGATATCTAGTGTAAAACTGACCAAAATTTCCTTCACACAGATTTAAAGACAACTTCCACTTTTGTCTATGGGGCACTTTTATCCTCTTTAACTTTGTCATTTTTTAACACACCCATGGGCATTAATTGTCCATTAATTTCCAACAATCTCCCACTTGTTCTAATAATGACAAGTCTAATTCCAGAAAATGAAGTATAAAGAGGGTTAATACAATTAGGTTTCTTTCGATTTAAGACTTAACCTTAGTGAAGACAACACAAAGTTTAATCGGAATGTTAGGTAGCAATAATTTTAAATCATTAATCTATAAGATTAGACCGGCGTTACCTTGCACACACTCATTAAGGGTTCTTCCCTTACATATCTCTCTTAGCACTTATTTATGGTCATGTGCTATCTTGTTTCATGAATTTTTCATGAGAGAAACTTCCACTCTCACTATGAGACGACGCCATCTTGAAATTCACATAGGTAAAATTTATATTGTGTCATTTTCCATGAGATACGTATCATCGGTATTGAACTTCATTAAGAGTTTGAAAAAACTCAACCATTAATTTAAAATAGTCAACATTATTTTCAAATATTTTACAAACATCCAAATCAACGACTTGTTGTTACCCATTGAATCTTGAAGTTAATGTGATGTTAACGTAAGATTGGGTTGCCGCCGTTATTGGAACTCTTATTCAAGAAGTTTCAACCTCATACCTCTCGAGGTTGTCTTTACTAAGTCTCTGGCCAGTGGCTTAGTAAATGAATCAACCAAATTATAGATCGATCAGATATATGTGAGTGAGATGATGACATATTTAATCAATTTTCTCACGAAATAATGTCTAAGTCCTATGTCCCTAAACTTTCAATCATACACTCAATTAAATTCTCTAGCTAAATTGGTTTGACTATCACATTGTGTCAACACCTTTGAAACATTGTCTTTTGTCAATAGAACTTCCAATAGAAGGTCCCTCAACCATTCAGTTTCTTGACCAACAGAAACGAGAGCCACAAACACTAATTCCATGGTCGAAAGATTAATCCATGTTTGTTTCTTGCTCTTCTAAGAAATTGCACTTCCACCTAGTGTAATTACTGACTCAGTTGTAAGTTTATGATCTCCAACACTCGATATCCAACTCACATTGGTATATCCTTCTAATATGGAACCTACCATAATGGAGGTCAAAATTTTGGTTTTTAAAAGATAATCGAAAATCCTTGTGATGACCTTCCAATGCTCATCATTTGAATTGCTAGTATATCTACTCATTTACTAACTGTAAATGCTATATTGGGTCTAGTATATTACATCAATTACTTTAGACAACCAATTGCACTTGCATATTTCAATTGAGTTACAAATCTTCCATCATTATTTGATATTCGACACTAGGATCAAATATAGTGGTTACTTCCTTAAAGCATACGTGTTTGAACTTATTATCAATGTAGTGTGTTTTACTAAGTTCATAACCTCCACTATTTCTCTTTACTTTGACCTCTAAAATTATGTCAACTAGTCACTACTACAAATAACGCTTCTAACGTCGGACGCAAAAAACGTTGTACCTCGACAACAAAAGCGAGGTAAATATGGTGGTCATGAAAAGTTTCCACTTAAAACCTCGATTTTTCAAAACCCAAGGTGTATAGTTATATGCACATGAGTTCGAACCCCAGGAGTCGCACTTTTATTATATTCAAAACCCATAGTTTGGTTCTACATATTTGTAAAAGTTTTGATGATAACAAATACATGATATATACATAAAGAATAAATATGCTCTCTAATAATTTAATAAAATACGCAGAGAAGTTTTGAGAAAGAAGCATAGAAGTTGGCGAACAAAATTTCACTAAGAAGATCTGATAAGAATTTTTGTACAACTATTGAAATATCACGCTCAAATAATTCTAATGCTAAAACTTCTAAAGCACCAAAGTTGCATGCTAAAACTCTGATAAAGCAAAACTCCGATGATCTAAAGTATCAACGTTAATATTTTTATTATGATCAATTTTTAGAGAAGCAAGTTCTGTTGTGTTACAATTTAATCATTGCAAATCAAAGAGTAACGGATGGTACCAGACAAGATTTAGATTTTTGGAAAGTGCATTAACAACTTTTTATCAACCTTCCAAAATCATCTTCTCATGTCTCATTTGCTCCGCCTAAATCACAATCGTGATATAGTTTTTCTAGAAACACTATTGTACACATTTTGATTCATATTTTGTAATTCCTTGAGAAACCAAGTTGTGGTTTAGTCTCCATAAGACATTGACGGTAGTCTTTTTGATTGTGTAATCAAAGTTTTTATTAGTGGATTAAGACCTTTTTTGAGAGAGGCAAAATCACCTTGACGGATGGACTGGAGTAGTTTGTGTTCAAATGAACCAGGATATCCAAATGTGTCATAATATTTTAATTTTTGAAAACCCCAATTCAAACCCCTTTTCTTGTGTTTTTCTATCCTTCAATTGGTATCAGAGCTCCTAGTTCTTAGTGCTAACACTTAACCGTGTTATAAAAAGATCCTAGTAAGAAAAACACTAGGGTGGGACAAAGTCAGAACAACAACAATGATAACTATGATGAGAAAGACATAATCAACAACAAACCTCAAATCTTTGATAGTGAGAACTTCGATTACTAGAAAGACAGAATCGAAAGTTTTTTTCTAGCTCATGAGGATGATCTCTGGGATATGATAACTAATGGATACATTCATCTAGTTGACGCAAGCAGTCAGAAGATCGATAGAAAGAAAATGACTGATCAACAAAAGAAAGAATTCATAAATCATCACATGGCCAAAATAATCCTCTTGAGTATTATCTCATACACCACCGGGTATGAGAAGATCACGAACAAAGATTCAACTAAGAACATGTTTGACTCTCTGAGAATGATGCGTGAAGGAAACATGTCAGTCAAAGAGACCAAAGCTCTTAAACTCATTCAGAAGTATGAGACCTTTAAAATGGAGGAAGATGAAACAGTTGAGAGAATGTTCTCAATGTTTCAAATTCATGTTTCTGGGCTAAAAGTTCTGGACAAAAGATACTCAACAGTAGATCATGTAAAGAAAATCATCAGAAGCTTACCCAAGAAATGGAGACCCATGGTCACAACCTTAAAACTAGCCAAAGATCTGAACAAAATATCTGTTGAAGAACTTATCAGCTCTTTGAGAAATCACGAGATAGAACTAGAAGAAGATGAGCCCCAGAAGAAAGGTAAGTCTCGTGTTCTTAAATCTAATAAAAAATATGAAACTAAAGCTTTTTTGGCAAAAGAAGAAAACTCTGGTGGATCCTTGTCAGAGGAATACGAACTATCTCTTCTCTCCAGAAGAGTCCATCATATATGGAAGCATAGACAAAGGAGATTCTGAAACCCCGGAAGAATAGGAAATCGCTCTGAATCATCCTCTGGATACAGAAAATCTAGAAACAAAGATGTTGTATGCTACGAATGCAAAGAGGCATGTCACCATAAAAGAGACTGCCCAAATCTTCAAAACGAAAAGCCTAATAAGAAGTTATCCAAAGAAAAGAAGAAAACTCTTATGGTAACGTGGGATGACTCGTAATCTTATGAAGCTGAAACAAAATCAGAAGGTGAACGAGCCAATATAGCTTTAATAGCCAACATATCAGAAGACAGAGATACATCAGAATCTGAATTAGATTCAAAAGAGGTATTTTAGAAATTCTCTAGATCTCAATTAGAAGAAATTTTGTCTGAAATTCTTGAAAGATATCAGCAACTTCGAGTCAAATACAAGAACCAGAAACGCGTTCTAGTATCTGAAACTGAAAAAACTAGGAAACAAAAAACAGAAAACTCTGAGCTAAAAGAAATTAATTCTAAACTTAAAAATGAATTATAAAAAGCTCATAAAGAATTTGTTTTAGAAGTTGCAAATAGTTCTGATAACATCATAAAAGAATATGATCACATCTTTCAAAAATTTCTAGCTAGAAACATAGATAGAAGCAAGATGGATTCAATGATCTATGGAGTTAGCAGAAATGACAGAAAAGGCATAGGATATGT